AAACAAAGAACCCAACATAAACAAACGAAAAATCAAGGAATCCATCTTAATTGAACACAACAACCCTACTCTAAACCAACACCCCGGGATGCCTAGATACCTCTTCTAAGTTTTGCAACAGTTCCGGTCATGTGAATTCTTTGTTCAATACTGTATATATCCGTGTCAGTGTAAATTACTTGTACCTGATGATGACAAAACCTTGTCATTCTATGTTAAACTTATATTAAAGTTTTTCTTCATTACCCATTCAAGCCGTCTCCAGCCATTATTAGTCTCAAAGTGGGTCCCTCGTCACCGAAGTTGTACATTTTGAACTGATATGTTAAAGAGAAGGCAGCTAGTCAACACTACTCACCAAATTATTCGTGCTATCTGTCTCTAATTTTGAACTGATGTGTTAAAGAGAAGGCAGCTAGTCAACACTACTCACCAAATTATTCGTGCTATCTGTCTGTAATTTTGAACTGATATGTTAAAGAGAAGGCAGCTAGTATTCGTGCTAGCTGTCTCTAATTTTGAAATGATATGTTAAAGAGAAAGCAGCTACTCAACACTACTCACCAACAGACTCCCGAGGAGGAGTAGCTGTCTCTAATTTTTAACTGATATGTTAAAGAGAAGGCAGCTAGTCAACACTACTCACCAACAGACTGCCGAGGAGGAGTAGCTGCCTCTAATTTTGAACTGATATGTTAAAGAGAAGGCAGCTAGTCAACACTACTCACAAACAGACTCCCGAGGAGGTACTCTAAACGAATAATGGGATTTGACTGTCACTCTTATAACGCACCCAGTTACCGTCGTTATTAACATTACATACAAAGCACGTAGATACATCACTTTTCTATTGTTTCGCCACAAGAAACTTAGTTGTATCCAGTATTTTCAGCTAAAAATGACCTACAGCTTAAAACTATAAGTTCTTCAGAAAATAACTAAATAACACTTAAAAACATGCTGCTGACAACCTATCGAGCGAACTGCATGACTGTATGGCAGTTATGATATTAGCCCGTGTAATTGGATATGACCATGTTTGTAATTTCCCGTGATGCCATTATAGCGAACACCAGTTACCGACCAAATAAATTATAATGTTAAACCAAAGAGCAGTAATTAATGTGCAGTTCATTAACGCACTTTCATTAGAGGCAAGTTTAATATGTCGAAAAACCACGGCAATGAAGTTCTAGTTTCCATCTTATATTCGTTGTAATCTTTAAGAGGGTAGTATTGATAATGTTTTAAATTATCATCTTTTTCGTGTAAGTAAATCTCTTGGAATCTATGCAAGCTTCCGTAAAAATAAAATAGATAATATAAACACTCCTCCAAAAAGATACTTGTAAACAATATGTGCCTCCTAATGAGATTTCTTTATACTCGTTAAACAATGTGTACCTCCAAGAAGATGTCTTTGCATTTATCAAACTATACGTTCCTCCAAGGTGATACCAGAATATTGTTTGTTCTTTAGATATAATTGTCTCCAATGCTTAGCATTACAAAAGGAACATTTTGAAGTCAAGGGAAAGAAAAGAGGTTTTCATTAAACACAGATAGCAAAGGTATGTCAGTCTGGAAACAACATGAGATGTCTTTATACTTCTTAAACAAATGAGTACCTCCAAGAAGATGTGTTAATGCTTGTTAAACAATGTGTACCTCCAGTATTAGTGTTTTTGAACATGTATCTACTGTAGAAGAAAATTCAGTCCTCAGACATTTCTGAAAAAAAAAAAGTGTAAGTG